GAAGTTTAAAGCCGTATTACCGTATTCCAGTGAACCCTAACCTAGACCACTGGACCCCAGAAGTTCAAGCACTGAAAGCATGCTTGTTGGGAGGATTTCTTCCGCCACAAGGCCTGCTCCGAATGAGTTTAGGGCTATGGGGGTCCTAGGGTGTTCGGGCTGAGTTTGGCTTAGAGGTTTGGGGTTAGTTTAGCCTTGAGACTTTTCCGGCATTTGAGGTTTAGGGTTTTATGGTTTAGGGCTCAGGCACTTTAGGCTTTCAGATTCATTGTGAAGAGATATAGGGCTAAGTATGGGGGGCCGTAATTGTTGGAATCGGAATCGGGATGTCCGGGCAGATCAGAGTCATAATAGGGCTTTTAGAAGGGGATCCCGTTACCAAGGCCTCAGACCGATGTTCGGGGGTTCAGGGCGTGTAACCTAAAGCGCGATGTAGCATACTGTAACAGAGTGCAACATCAGGCAACGCAACATAGTGCAATCTAGTGTATGTTGCGAAGAACGTATGCTATGTATGCGTGGTCTCTGTACGATGGCAATACTACGTACCCTGGGGCTCTGCCAAGATCTAGCCTTTGAAAGCTTGCCGGATGATATGTGGATGGTTCAAGATCAGAAGACCCGCCTGAAATGTGTTAGGGCTGGAACCGAGGCTCTGCTGCGGGCACTCAGGGAGTCTTAGTGAAGCCCACATAAAAAGTCCTGAACTTCAAGAAACGCACACCGACATCCCAACCGAAACCTCAAAATCTTGTGCCAGCAGATGGAGTCTTGAAGCTGGCATTGCCTAGTGTTTCAACGCATTGCCGACCGTCATGTTTCAGCCGTGCATACGCAGCCATATTGAGGTGTATGGCGTCTCATATTCATATATCCGATAATATACCTGGAGCTTTGGGGGCTTTTATGTTTGAATGCGCCATAGCTTTACACGGGAACCCAAAGGAATGACATTTCTCGTTTTTCATTCCTCAGACAACTCTATCAACACCACCAGAGCAGCGGTTTTTGAAGATCTTTGAAGATTGGATCTGAACCCAATCACTTGGCACAGAAAACCCGGAAAACCTACATCAGTACAACCTTAATCCCGAAACCCGAACCCAAGAGTATACCCCCCAAATCTCCAAGCCCCCAAAAGTCCTAAAGCCCAAAGGCTAATTTAAATATGGCGGCTTGGAAAAAGTACCGATACTGGGGTGCCCCAAGCCCCATTCCAATGAGCAAGCCCCCCCCCCCCCCAGTGGCACTTTGAGAAACTTTGTAATGTCTCATACTGTCTCATTATGCTTCCTTTTGAGGTACCTATTCATAAATACCTGTAATGTCACCAAAACTACAACCAAGACTAAAGCATCCTCGGATTCAGAGGTCGTCGTCCAAGAAGAGGCTCGTGGCCTTGTTTAGGGTGTCGAGGCGTTTCTAGGCTTTATACAGGGGTTGTAGGGATTTAGAGATGTTTGGCTTTGGGGTTTAAAGCTTAGGGTTGAGGCTTTGGGCTCCTGGATCTGAACAGTGGTCAGTGCTTTCGACGGTTTGAGAATCAAGATTTTGCGACGCTAGGAAGCAAGGACATTAGATAAAGAGTCATGTGGACTTACTACCTTGAGCTATACGCAACAGCGCAAGGTCCCGATATCCCATGATCCGAGATGGAGGGGTAGGCTGAGGCCTTTTGGAAGGTAAGCAGTCGAGAGTTCAGTGTTTATCGGCTTGGTCACGGAGGTGTACACCCTGAACCAGGCCCGGTTGAGGGACTTCACTACAAGCTCCCGATCCCTCCGAAAGCTCAGCAACTACTCAAACTCCTGAGCACTGCGATGAAGGTCGGGGCTCCAGAGAAAAGAACAAGACATGGATCTCTGAAAGGAAGTCTCATAAAGGAAGACCTTGACAGTTACCCCAGTTCAAGCCAGGCACCTTCCCCTCCAAGAAGAACCCTCCATCCTGCGCCAGACGCTGACGGAATACTTCGCCGCGCTCGGCGAGGTGGCGCGAACGGCGGCGCTGCAGCACTGGGTCCATGCTGCCATGCTCGTACCCTGAGGGTCCGAAGTACTTGACTGATAATTAGGTAAACTGATTGAGGATAGTTGTCTTGAGTAGATGACTGTCAGGTACTGGGATCTTTAAGGGTAGGATCTCTTTCAAGATGATGCCAACAAATCGAGCCCGAAAACCTCAGCATTGTTTGAGTCACCGCCGGCCTTATCTTGGCCCCAGACACTCATGCAACCTTAAGAGAATCAATCCCTTTGCCCCCAAAGAACTCTGGAAGAAGTTTTCTCGGTGCAGATCGGATGTTTGTTCGCCGACGCGAGTATGCTGGAGCGATCTTAACGCGTTGTGTTTCGACCGGAAGCTTTACCTGGGACCACACAGCTTCCGTTTAGGGTTTAGGGATCCATTTAAGCACCACGCTTCTGTGACAGGGTAGTAATTCGGGGGTCCTGAAACCTTTGGTGCTCGTGATCTCAGGTCTTCAAGAACCAGTTCTTCCAGGTGGGCTGGCTGCCCAAAAGCCGCCGGCAAGTTAGAATCGGATCCCAAAGTAGGGGTTCTTCAACTACGGATGTGAGAATCTTCTTGTATCTTCTTAGTTGTGTTTGTACTCGGCCCGTCCCGAGTCCTTACTCCGGAGTTAACCAGTTAGGCCTTTGAGAGATTTTGTATTGTCCCTGATTAGGCCTAAGAGGATCATACTTAAGAACATATTTTTACAGGTTTGAAAGGACCAACCTAGACTGACTATATAGACAATTTCCATAAGGGCTTTGATTTGACAGATCGGTTGATTTCTGTGGATTTCGGAACAAGGCCTTGTTCCCCCTCAGGCCTCGAGGTCTGGTCTGCGAGCTCTCGGGATCTGTGTTTTAGTTGTCGATAAGCTTACAAAACACGGTATAAGATAGGAGTCGGAATTTGGAGACGGTTTCCTCCAAGCCATAGGGGTCGGATTAACGGATGGAGCGAGGCATTTCTTGAGGCTCCGGCCTTATCCCTCTTTGGGGCAAGATGTCGTTCCCAAGCCGACAACCCCGAAACCTGCAGAACCATCCGGTGAACAATCTTTTGAAGCCCCTTAATTAAGCCCCTTAAGCAAGAATCCTTAAGCCTTAAGCCCAGTGCATGAAGCGTCAATAAAGAACGCGACACATCTCTCGGCCTTCGGCCTGGAAGCCGCCCGAGCCATCCTCAGTCCGCTGAGCCTTAGAAGAGTGCTGCAGGGTTTTTATTGGGTGCTTCTGGTGTTGTATGGGATACTGGTAGTTACTGTACTAGTACTTGTAGTAAAGATCCGACTGCAGAACTCCCAACGAGATGTCACGCGCAACAGGGCTTGATGCTGTTCTGCCTCTTCGTAGCGCCGGGTGCTCGGAACCATGGGGTGTGCCTCGGGCTGGCAAAACTCGGAATGCTGGATTAATCCTTGCATCCTGCGGCTAAACCCCAAGAGCCCAGCTGCAGCTGAGAGGGCCGACCATCTTCAAGACTCCTTATCAACAAGATGCTAAGCCCGCATATGTTCACTTGAAGAAGTAGTACAATGCAGATAATGCAGAGGTCGGAGTTATCAGCAACAGTATACTGCGGACCGACAGCGAAGCGAACAGTATAATGTACCCAACAGCCCTATGGTATCCTATGGTCGTAGTCTAGTTAAGGCTCCGTATTGGGTCTTGCGGGGTTACAGGAGCGGTGGTTAAAACTATGATTTACAACTGGTGATATGTAGAAGGGCGAAGACGGGAAAATTTTTGAGGGGGAACATTTTTCGTTCGTGTGCATGGTCCGGGGTTTGTCTCTGGCATGTGGCTTCTACCTGTCTTGTGGTTTGGAGTTGAAGGCTAAGGGCATGCAGGGTTAGACTTCAGAAGCTGAGGTTTTTGAAGTTAAGGGAGTAATTATTCGTCATCTTCTATGAATGTGCGTATGTGTAGCTACGCGTACACATATGCATGTATGCATGCATGGCGTGTTTGTATTCGCGTATGTATGTATATGCACTTAAACATACGAACAAACACATACATACGTACAGACATGCATGTATAGACTGTTATGCCAAGCAGTTGTTTTGCGTGAGCTGTCACGCCGAGACGTCCAGGTGGATGTAGATCTGGGCCCTAGAAATAATTGCCTGTATTGTACAGTGTACGCAACTTTGCTTGTTCTGCATATCAGGTTCCTGGTTTTTCAAGTAGGGCTTGCGACTTAGAATGTGGAGGGATGCGCGGTTCGCTCAGAACTTCAAAGGGCATTCAGGTTGCAACCCCTTCTCCATGTGCCCATCTGGACTTGCGGGACGCACGGGCAGGTCAATGTTCCCCGACACGTTCATTCGACTGCACCGACTGTGCAAACAAATCTTTTTTGCAGAGGGATCCTTGTTCAGCTCTCGAAGCAGATCCAATTGTTTTCTGGATGTTAATTACTCTACATCCATCTCTTTCCAAGGCTGTTCGTTGCAGACGTCTTCATCATTATCAACGTGGCCACATGGCTGCAACGTGTGGGTAGGAACGCCCTACAACAAGGGCCTGAACAATTACTATTGCCATCCTCTTAAAGTCCCCAGAAATTTTGAGCACAATATGTCCAAAACCCGAAGCTAGCTCTATTGGCCCTATAGAGGTTGCGAACTGAAGATGGTCAAGGCTCCTCCCAGGAAGTCTTGCTGAGTCCTAAAGACCGGTCTGGAGGCCTGTTCCCTAGGCTCAACTCCAACAGGCCGAAGACCCTACCGGGCCCTACCGCTTGCACCCTAAACTCCTAAACCCTAACCTGGAACTTTGTGCTGATCTAACGATCTGTTGAGCCTCTGCCATGTTCACGACCCTACGCCGTATCGGCTAGAGGGAAGGGATTCTGCAGATCAAGAGCCATGTGGGAAAAGGCTAGCAGCCCTGTTGCTTAGAGATCCAGGCTCCGGCTACGGCAATAAATTCACATTGGTAGCGACGCTTTGGCTAGGCTTGGGCTGCTAAAGCTTTGCGACGATGTACTTCGATGATGACCTGTTGAGCGGCGCGCATGCCCAGGAAACTCATGCTGACATCGGCGCAGGCGCACCTGCGGCAGACTTCGAAGACGGCATCCCCTTCGGCGATGCTGGCTCAGGCGCCGCTCCTTCCTCTGTGGAGACTTTGCACTCTTCGAGGAGAAAGCGCGGCTCGAGGGGCGGCTTGGCCTCTCGACCCAACCCTGCTGACCAGAAAAGATGGAGATCGGGTGCGGTCCCTCCTCCACCAACGTTCAGCGGGGACATCGAGGCCGATCCCTACTGTTTTCGGCACTACAAGCGGAGATTGCTCAGGTGGGTGGAAATCACCAAGGAGTACCTACCTGGGAACGAGCAAGCTTTGCGAGCTCTTGAACACCTCAAAGGTGAGGCGGAGATCGAAATGGAAGAAATGGAGGATACTCGGTACAACACCGACGGGGGCATCTCGCTCCTCCTGCAGGACCTTGAGCGCAGCTTCGGCGCAAAGGAGATGTTCCGCCAGGGCGGCACGATCCGGGAGTTTGAGAACGTGGGCAGGCTGCAAGGAGAAAGTGTGCATGCGTTTGTCCGTCGTTTCAGACTCTTGGAGCGCAAGCTCAAGGACAACCAGGTCCCCGAGTACCCGGAGCAGGCAAGAGTAATCAAGTTACTGGATGGCTTGCGCTTGGATGAGAAGAGCGTGGCCTCTCTGCTCCTGGCCGCGGGTAACCGGTACGACATGCGAGCTATCCTCAATGCTATTTCCATACAGTACCCCGCCGGTCTAACCATCACGGGAATGCCTCGCCTTCGGTCAGACCGAAGAGGACGAGGCCGCGGCACTTCATCTTCGACGGCCTCCTCATCGGCGTCTTCTACAAGGTCGGGGCTACCTTCACGGAAGTGGCGTCACTGGAATACGAACTGGGAGGACTATGCCGACGAGGAAATGGCGGATGCTGAGGAATCTGTTCTTCCTCCTGTGGACGAGGATCCTCCTCCGGAACCTCAAGGTGACGATCCTGGAGAAGGACAAGTCTACGACGAGGACTATGACTACGGCGAGCCCGACGGCGAAGGCGACGAAGGCCCCGATTGGTCTCACCACGAAGAGGAGACCTATCCCGAGGACGAGGATTGGGGCAGCTTGGTCCAGGCGCTCACCGTGACGAGCAAACGGTTGGCAGGACTGGTCCAGGCCCGCGGCTACTACCAGACCGAAGGCAAGGGCAAGAAAGGCAAGGGCAAGAGCAAGGGCCGCGGTAAAGGTCGCGGCAAGCCCGGTGGCAAGGCTTCGGGCAAGTCCTTCCCTTCTTTCGGCAAGGCCTCCGGCAAGAAGGGCTCTGGCTTCAAGGGCAAGGCCAAGACGACGGACCCTGCTGTTCACCAGCAAAGGCTGCAGGGCAGCCTGTGTTTGGGATGTGGAGCGTCGGATCACTGGCTCAAGGACTGCCCTTCGTACAACGTCCAGAATGCTCAGATCGCCAGCGCTTCCTTCGAAGGCTTGGTGCTGGATGCGGATGGCGTTGCAGCTTCTTGGATGGTGAGCGCCAATGAGCCTCTTCAGGAAGGCACTACTGAGGAAAAGAGCTTTCAGCACTTCTTCCAGGCCCCTCCGCTTTCCGAGTTTGAGCCCTCTGTACCTGTCGGTCCCAGTATCTTGTTGCAGTACTACCAGGGCAGCAGTTCGGCTTACATCATCGCGGATACGGGTTGTCAGAGGCAGGTAGCAGGGGCTGGTTGGCATGCTCAGAAGTGTCGAGAAATCCAACCTCTTCAAAGGCTTGAGTACCCGGACATGTGCAAGTTCAGCTTTGGCCCCAGCGAGGCTTTGGCGAGTCAGGGAAGGTTTGTATATCCGGTTGCTATTGCAGGCACACCTTTGGCTATGAGCGTGAGCTCTGTGAATGCGAAGGCCCCGGCTCTCATGTCCCGTAAAGCTTTCGAGGCCCTTGGTGCTGTACCGGATGTTCTTTGTGGTACCATGTACTTTCGAGCTTTGCAGTGCACTACGCAGTTATGGCTGTCACCATGTGGTCACCTGGCTGTGAGACTTGATGAGTGGGGTGATGATCCTTTCGTTTGGCCCCCCGAGTACATCCCTCCTGCTTTGCCTGATGTTATCTACTCGGGCAGCTTTGAGAGCTCGAACTCTTTGAAGACCATCGAGCTTCCTGCCCGACCCGTTCCTCATGCCTCCGCCAACATGGCTTTTGCACTGGCGCAACATGCTGAGGAACCTCCTGAACTTCGTCTTCTACGTCAAGCAGATGGTGATCATGTACTCGGCCACGACCTTGCACCCCGCTCTCAAGGACAGAGTACTGCAGACGCACTTAGTGCCAAGCTCAGCGGCGACCCTCCTGTCAACCACGGCGGCCATGGCAGCCCAGGAGTCACTGCAAAGCCAACGCTATCTGCGCACTCCCGAGAC